GAGAGAGAGAGAGAGAGAGAGAGAGAAGAGGAAGGGGATAATTATAAAGCTTCAAACACATTTTTTCTTGAGATATTTGAATAAGCTGCAATTAGTATGCTCTCTTTCTCCCTAAAATTTTGAAGGAAGTTTAGATTGAAATCTTGAGGCAGCCTTTATTACATTTCAAAATTTACTTAATTAAATTATTAGGAGAATTATCGGGGTTGACTCCATGATGCTAATTTTGGGCCCCAAGTGGTTAGATGTCTTGACCACTTTACGTGGAGGTCAATTGTATGGAAATGAAGTCAATTTGTCAAGAATTGATCAAAATTGGGTTAGGCCTAATTTGATTTGACCACCCATGATGCCATAAAGTTTTTTTTGAACCCAATATCACCGCAACTCTATTCAGAGCAAGAAGCATACATAAATAAAATGCATAGTGCATTTAATTGATAAATTTTCTTGTCATATTGGAACAGCGTGCATGAGTATTAAGTTTGTTTAGGAGTTTATACATTTCTATAATGACAATGATGATGTAGAGGGCGAAACTAAGATGACTTGGGGCGATACCGTGAAGAACTTGCACAATTTTTGAGACAATAATTTTCCATATATTTATATTGTTATATATATATATATATATATATATATATCTTTGTGTGTTTATATTTAAATATTTAACAAATTTTTAGAGAATTTCATGCTATTTGAGATCGGATTCTATCACCTTTTATGCAGTGGTCGGGACTCATCTCTTACTGTGATTTCCTCTTTATCGATTTATCTTATCAATGATATTGCAGCTAACAATTCACCAGAAAGTGTTCCATCAAGAACAGTTATAGCTTATATCTGAGATCTTTTTTTATTACATTTCTGAGAGCTATGCAATTCTTGGAGTGAATGAAGAAGTTGTTTGTAGCATATTTTGTTTTGTGTCATGTTCTTAGAATAAGATGTATCTCGCATATCTTCATATTTAAATTAAACAAATATTAACACAATGATATAAATCGAGCAGGCTTCCCTTCTATTCTATCCATGAGCTAAAAATATAAGATCACAGATAGGAATGTGATACACCGTGCACTAACAGCTATAGTTAATACTACAATACATATAAAATGTGCTTTTTAGTTTTTCTTTTGTTTTTATTAAAATACATTCATAACTATCACTTAAATGTAATAGTTTGCTTGTAATTGATGTCCATTGACATGAAAATTTGTAATTCAATAAGAGATTTGATTGAAGCTTAATTGACATTGAATTTTACTTGAATTCTTCTCAAAACACAAATAGCATAAATAGAAAAAAAATCATTAACTTACAAGGCATGATCCATCAAATTTATTTATTTATTTATTTATTGCTAATTGACTATATTATAATAAGCTTGAATCCATTATTTTAAATAGATCAATATCATCTAAAAAAAAGTTGCAATTATTAACAAAATGTATCTCATCTCATAAAATCTCATGAATATTTCAATTATGCAGAAAATTAAAATTCATAATCAAAGAAGGAATTTATCAAGTAAATGTAATTTAAAACCCATGATTTCTTACTCAAACATTAAGAAGTAAATGTAATATGGTAACACAAAGTCGTGATTGAATATGACAACACAAATCCAACAGCACGCATTAAAAAATTTTGTGAACCATCAAAGAAATATTAAAAGTTAAGAGCAACCCAAAAAGAAAAATACATGAAATAAAGGGTAGTAAAAAGATTGATGTGAGAATGCATGAGAAAACTTCGATTACGGAAAAGTAGGTAGCAACATCATCATTCCCTCATTAGTGATACTTAATGCATATCTCGGTAGTAGAAGTTTTATTGTGGAATGATCCACTAAAAACTATTCCATCAAAAATGTGTGTCATATCCTATAGGATTTTGAGATCTTATGTTATTGTGGATTTTGAGATCTTATGTTATTGTGCTTCTATAAGCTATGTAGTTCTTCCTTGTCAAATAAGTACTCTCTCAGTCTTATCGCTTTACCTGAAATCAAAATATTAGATGCAGAACAAAACATAAGTTTGATTTTGCAAAAAGAAAGTAATTATTTACAATTAATTATTACATGAAATTATTTTAGTTTATATTAGAAAGCTAAAACCCAAGTATCTTCCATGGGTCTTTATCACTGAAAAGTGAGTAAGCATCACATGTAGTGACATCATGTTGTTGGTGTTGATTGCCCACATTTATTTTGTCAAGCTGATTGCCCAAACTGTTTGTGTCATTTGTCTCTGAAGCAAATACTTCATTGATTTTCTTAATATAACTCGGCGCACAATCATTAGAAGCGCAACATCGAATCTATCTGAAGGGTCCTCCAGGTTGAATGGGGGAAAGAGAAATACTTGAAGCTTAGTTGATCCATCGCTGGAGGCTTTTGAGAGATAGTCTATCTCATCCATTATATTCTCAAAATCCTCAATGAAGTAAACTGAGATAAGGGTGTCTAGAATTTGTTTAGAAAGTTGGTAGAAGATGCAAACAGGGCCTCCATAGGCATCCTCCATGCAATAAAACTCTCGAAAGATGGCATCACGACGAAAAGCAATAATTCACGATTGTCCGCCAACATAATGTATATTTCCGTTGGGATGATTGGCTATAATCTTGCCGCCAAAGCTGCAGAGGAGTTTCACCTTGCGTGATGTTTGGCCTTTCGTAGTGTTTTGTGTGAGTGAAATGGTAGAGGCAGGGGGCTTTTGGTTAAATTTCAGAAGTTCGTTCAATGGTGGTTTGGGATAGAAATTTCAATTGACTGTCATAGGTGCGCATGAGGTTTTGAAGGTGGGTGAATTTAGATAAATGTTAGAAAAGTGGAATGGAGAGATGGGGAACTTTAGAGGAGGTTTATGCATATGTTGGCGAAAGGAATGCAAGATGGAGAGATGGGGAACTTTAGGGGATGTTTATGCATATGTTGGCGAAAGGAATGCAACAACCAATCCATTGCAACGGAGCAAGCAGAGGCGGTGAAAGTAACAGCCAGTCCATTGCAACGGAGCAAGCAGAGGCGGTGAAAGTAAACAATCCAGAATTCATAAGCATCAACCACCGATTATCCATTACAAGGTGACAACTAGAGCTGCCAAAAGAGCTCGATGTTAGTGAACTTCTCTTTTTTGGCTCGCTAAATTGCTTGTACTCGATTCAGTCATTATTAAAAAAGACAAACGTGAATAAGTATCTTGGGCTCTATTTAGTGTTAGAAAATTTATGATGGTAAACTAAAGATTTTAAATCCCATACAAAAATACAACAACTACGAAAGTTTTTACGTGAAAATTCTAATAAGGAAAAACCTATGTGGCTTAGCACATAAAAGATAACCCACTATGCTAATTGACATTATAAGAACCTACTAGTGCTTACTTGGAAAATATGGGATTACAAAACAATGCACTTAGTTTTGTCCTGCTCTTCTATGGCTCTGATGAGATTAGTGGACGAGAAAATAGTGGTTGGGCAATATCGATTAAAAAATAACTACAGTATTCAAACAATGGTGGTTGAACAATGATGGCTAAGGGGTAGCTGACATATGATGGTGGTCGAAGAATGATTGGAGCAATGGTGGTTGGTATTAGTAAATAAAGCTCTATAGTTCTTCATATTTTCTCAAGTTTAGCTCTCCCACATGTAAAGAATGCGAGTCTATTTAATTTTTTTAAAAATGGTATTTAATAAATCTAGCTAAATCCTCAAAATATTCTTGTAGATGGTTTATGTTAACTTTTTTTATCATAGATTATTTTTTAGCACTTTGTTGAATTAATGAGAATTGAGTGATTTTAGTATCATTGGATTATTTCACGGAGATGCTCAATTTGATCATACTTACATAAAATTTAGATAGCATTTCTTTAACTGATTTCATATAAATTTCAACCAATGTTTGGTTTGGATTCATTTGAGTTTAGATTTGACCACATTTGATATCATTGGATTTAGTTTTCAATTAGTTCAATTCAATTAGAAATTTGTTGAAATGGGGGTTTGGAGTGATCTTGAATTTGAGTCTAGAAATTATTTCCTCCAAAATATGTTGACATTTGTGCCTAACTAATGAATTTCTTATGTTACATTTCAAGCGGAATTTATCAACTAATCAATCATGACAAAGCTTTCTCTAGAATGTGTTTTGCACGAAAACAAAAGTTAATAAGTTATAGAACATCCAAATTAAGGCTTTCTTTGCCAACATCTAAGATTTAAGTTAAATAGGATTTATTAAATCCGATAAATTCGAACTTAGCAACTCCATAATCCATTATGATCAACGAAGAAATTAATCCACCTCATTATCGGATTTATGAAAGTTACCAAAAAGATGAAATGCAAAATAATAATAATAGAACTCAGAAAATTGAAGCTAATGAAGCATTGGATTTAGTTTTATTTTTTCGGGGTGTGTTTGGTTGAATTTAAGTTAAAATCATAATTAAATCGGATAAATAACATGCCTAAAAAATTTAGATTAATCTCAGCCGTCAAAATTAAATCAAAGGCTAATCATAGCTCATGTGGCTGTTCATCCCGCACCTGCTTTCAACCCTGTGATTTGCGATTGATATAGGACTCTGTCCCTGCAAAGCGCGAACACAAGATCAGGCCTATGTTCATCCCGCACCTGCTTTCAACCCTAGTCATTTTTTGCGATTGATATACAACCCTAAGAGCTATCGAGGACTCCTGTCCCTGCAAAGCGCGAACACAAGATCAGGCCTAACCAAACTCCTCGCAAGCGGGCGATAAAGGCGCTAGGGCTTTCTCATATCTCTCATCTCTCACCTCCATAAGTTACTTTACGTTCTCTCTTACCCTTCCAAGAAACCTTCTTCCTCCCGAATCGAAAGGTGAATCAAAATTTCTTACTTTCTAGATCTATTAATATTTGAGATCAATCAATTTACCTTTAGTTAGTTTTCTTATTTATTTTTGCTTTTACTTCTCAGACGTTCTTGTTTGAGATGAGATATCTAATTAGGGTTTTGTTTTTTTTTTTCACTTTTTGTTATAATTATGTTTGTTGTCTGCCCTTATGTGACGATATTGTTTAGGAATTTGGTGAAATAAAGATTTGATCATTTGATTGTATCTACCTTATATACAACTTATGGGTTGAGGCGTTGTAGGGATCATTTGCCTATTGAAATCTCATAAGTTTTATGAGAAATTGGCTGGTTAGTGTTTTTGTTGTCTTAAATACATTTTTGCTCTATCTGAGCAATTTGGTAATTTTATTCTTGCTGCATCTGGGAGTGGCTGCGATTTTGATGTACTTAGAATTTGATTAAATTTAATCTTAAATTTATGTTCACATTTGTATACATTGGTTTATGTTTATCTATTATTGTTTAGAGCATGATTTATTTATCTGGGGAAAACACAGACATTTCTTTCTCAATTGTTTTGTTATTAAGTTCAGAATAATTTTGCCAGAATTATTTCGTTTAGTAATTGAAACAAATGCAATGATTGATCGAGGCATATTAGTAGTAACTGAAATTAAGAAATGAGCCTTAAAAATAAGAATTATTTGCTGAAATTTTAATATGATCTTGTTCATATGCAAAATAATTAAAATAATAATATATTATAAATTATGTAGTGAAAATTTTAAAATACTATGATATCTTAATTTTGATAAGTTTGACTAAATTAAAATTTGATAATTTACATAAAAGCAGAATTATTTAAAATATAAATTTATAATGGTAGTCTATTATGAGTGAAACATTTTTTTAAATGGTTCACCTCATGAAATGCCCTAAGAGCACACTTTCTCTTTTTATTATCTATTTTTCTCTTTTTTGTCTGTTTCTCCGCCTTTTCTTCTTCATGGTATGGATGAGGAGATGAGATTTAAGATACTAAGGGAAACACATAAGCATTTTATATATATAAATAATGTTGTTATTTTCATAATTATGCAATTATTTAGCTATAAATGCAAGATTAATTTAAATTCTTTAATATTTTCAAATTCAAATTTCTAAAATTTATAAAAATTGTTCATAAAATAGTACCTTATCTCTAGAATAGTCTGATAAAAGTAGTTTGTGAATGGAATACCAGATGGCTTTAAGGGGCTATTTGGCAGCCAAATTTAAGTTAAATTTTTGCAGTTTTAATTGTAAATTATAACAGACAGTAGAAAGTGTCAAAATAAATTTTACAAGGTTTCTATACTATTTCAAGTCATTTTCTTTCCTAAGCTTGAATTTACTAAATGTACTAGTTGGACTGTTTTAGAGAATTTAGACGAATCTAGTGTGTGAAATTGCAGGGGCAATAAGAGGTTTAGCTTCACTAGTGAGATTCCACGCAACTTCCTTGCTTTTTTTCATTGATGACCTCAAGTTGGCGCATAAGTGTAGAGAATTATTACACCTTATTTGGTATGGTGATTCCAATCATTTATTATTAGAGATTGGATGAAAGAGGAATCATAAAGCTGACCTAAAATAATTGGGTTAAGGCTAATTATGTTGATGTTGGGGTGCTATGTTGTTTGTTTAATGGGTGTGTATTTTAAATCATTGCGCTTTTGAAGTGGAGGAATGCTCAGGTCTTTTGTGTGATAGGAAAGTATCGCTTAGATTGAAAGGAAAATTTTATAAGACTGTGGTGAGACCTGCAATGCTCTATGGCATTGAATGTTGTCCTTTAAAAGAGAAGCATAATACTAAGTTAAGTGTTTCCTAGATGAGAATGATTAGGTGGATGAGTGGCTTTACACTTAGAGACAAAATGCGAAATGAATATATCCGTGATAGGATTGGTGTAGCTCCTGTAACAGAAAAAATTAGAGAAAGTCGTCTTAGATGGTTTGGTCACATTAAACGTCGACCATTTGATGATCTGATTATGAGAGTGGATATTTTAGACCCGACTTATGTTAAGAAAGACAGAGGTAGACCTAAGAAGACTGGGCTTATTGTATAAAAAATTATCTTAATTTTATTAGAACTAAATGAAAATATGACACTAAATAGGGCGCAATGGAGAAAAATGATTCATGTAGCCGACCCCACATAGTGGGACTAAGGCTTTGTTGTTGTTGTTGTTGTTGCGCTTTTGTTGTTTTGCGCTTTTCAAATGTTGATATTTTATCATTATTTTTTTTTCTGTCAAACAAAATGTTACTTTGTTGTGCAAAAGAGATTTCTTAAGGGGAAGGCATTAAAGAAATGTTTGGGTTGTCTACATTATGTTTTGGTGGTAGCAGGTTCAAATTCTGGACATAGACCCTTTGGAATGCAAGGCTAGGTACCATCATTTAAAATTTCTCTAGATCATGTATTTTAGGCTCCTATATCTTAAGATATTCATTGTTGAAGAGTGTGGAATAGTGTAATTTTATTTACTTGTAGAAGTCACAAATGTATTGTAGCTATACATGTTATTAATTAGTATCATATTGCAAGGTAGTAGTAAATTTATCTATTTGTTAAAACTATCTAATTCTAAAACGAAATCGTCTTCCAGAGTTAATTATGATGCACTACAAAGTAACTTAAAATGAGGTCAAGCCCATTGAGAACAAGATTTGCATGATTCAACTTGAATGAAGATTTTGCCCATGGGAGAGGAGTTAGGATTTGTATACTAAACAAAGAAGAAAAAAATGGCGTACAAATATCACATTTTTCCTTTCCGAAAATTGACTGTGCCCCCAAATCCTTTCAAAAGAAGCCCAAGAAACTCACAATAGATTGAAGTTGCATCAAAATATAAATCTCCAAGAAGTGGGACTAAACTTTATCTTCTAAGATGAGATGACAACATAATTCAATTGATATATCTTATTTTATTTTAAAAATTATTCAATTGATATATCTTATTTTATTTAAAAATTATTTCTTTAATTTTGACTTTAATTTGACTGCACTCTTTGATTATTTATTAGCAATAATTTTTAATAATTTAAAATATCACCCTAATTATCACTTGCCGACACAAAATTCTCAAGGTGAATATCTTAGCCTCCACTAGTCTTTCATGAGTCTTGCATGAACTGAGCAGTCCCAAGCTTCTACAGCTTTTAGGCACACAAATCAAAGCATATTTAATATTGTAAACCAAGAAGCCTCCAATCATATGTGTGGCTATCACCTTTCAATGTAGCTACAAGACTGATAAAAGGAATATTTCATGAGTTTATAGATCCATCTTATTTAAGCATCCGTAGATCCATTGAATCTTTGGTTGCACCAAACATGGAACATATTGAGTCAAAATTAATAATTCTCTTCCTTGGCTCAATATTATGATAATTTGGGCCCCCTTTGCGATTTCTGCCCAAACTGAGCACTCTTAAGTCCCCAAAGCCTAAGATGTTGAGCATCCTGCAATCTCAGAAGGCCCAGATGACTTCACGTTGGGATAGATTGTGTAACATAGGATCGATCCACTTGATGATCTCTGAAATATCCAATTATCAGTGCAATTGGGTAGAAATATCTGACTTTCAGTTGGTCAGAACCTCTACTGTAACTCAAATTATAATTTTTTCGTGTTTTCAGGATGTCAGAGGGACCTTTCGTGCCGAGGGAGAGGCTTTACAAGCTACAACAGTATTTTCAGAACGCTCATAAGCATACTTACCTGAAGGGGCGTTATGATGCAATAACGTCTGTTGGTATACCTCTAGCACTGGCTGCCTCATCCTTATTTCTGATTGTAAGTTATTTCAGAATGCTAGAACTATTTTATAATTTTCAATTATTTATTTAATTTAAGATCCCCATGTTGATGAATTTCTTTTGTGGTTTGCTGAACAGGGGCGTGGAATCTATAACATGTCTAATGGAATCGGAAAAAAAGAATGAAATGAAAATTCTTATTTCACTTTTGTTTTGGTTCCTGCTCAGCTTTTACAAAAGTCTGCTCAACTTTGTTTTATCAGTTTGCAAAAATGTTGTGCTTGAAATGCTCAAATTTGGCATTATAATACATGCTTGCCATTGTTATTTAGCTTTCTACTTGGAGTATTTTGTTTGTTAAGAATTTATAAATTGTTCTTTGTTTTTTGCCCCTTTGGAGTTTATTGTTGCCTGTTTTACTTTGGTCTTTCCGAGATTGTAAGACATCTTGGTATGCTTTCTATTGGACAATCAAATACTGTAGTGTGGTTTGAGTTGGACAATGTCGTGCTTCTAGCTGCTGTATGGTTTGCTAGCAATTAGGGGTGTACATTGTAATTTGAAAATTATAGAATATATATATGAGCGATTTTGTGTCAAAATAAAATTTGACTGATTATCTAGAGTTTTATGCAATTCAGTTTACTGAATGCTGTTTTGGTTCACTTTTGATTTTTATATTTAATTTTTTTATTTTTATTTTATTTGTTTATGTTTTAATTCAAAATAAAACATGTGAGTTATGCTGTAATAGTTACTTGTGAAAATACTCAAAATAATTTTTAGTTGTTTTTATTATTTTTAAAATAATCTAATTTATTTTTCAAAACAAAAAATAAAAATAAAAAACATGAAAGAAATGTATTAAACAAATATATTTTTAAAATAAAAAAAAATAAAAAATAAAAGTGATCCTGAAAAAGCTCAAAATGTGGTGAATGAGTTCTATAAGAATTTTATTATGTACTCGTAACAGAAAATATAAAGGGTGCCATGCATCTTCGTTAACAAGTCTTCTTATTATCTCTAGGAGAGACTAAATGGAAGTTTTTTTACATGAATCGGCTATGCGATTTTAACATAATTTTGTGATTTTATGTGGATGAAGTTATTCAACATCATTTTTGTTCGTACTCTCAGTCTTTGTCTCTCCATCTATTATTACTTTAATAAATAATAATTTAACCGAAGTCTTGCTCATACTTGAGTTTTTAAGCGAAGTGGCACTTTGATTAGAAGAACATCACTAGCGGCATGTATGATATATCATTATCATAAGACTGAAAAGATGGGGTAGGCAAGAAACCCATTGAAGAGGCTTGTTCTCAGCCGGCAATCATTTGGCTATCTAATATTGTATCCCTTAATTTCTTATTTCCATGTACATCAGCATTTAAATTATATATCATGAAAAACAATCAAATTTATCAAATCGGTTTCAATTAAAAATGATTCAAATGTAACCAGACATTAATATCAATTTCAAACCCCCCATAACTCCACAAGGCCCTCTAAAAACACCTTTATTTTTTCTCAGATTATATTCAAACCCAAAATAAATTCAAAACATATGAAGTTGAACACATTCCACAATGACTATCGACTATTGGAGGTTGAAACAATCTTTCTCGAGGTTTTTAAGGTCTTCCTTTCTATTCCAAACAAAAGTGTCAAAATAGCATCTGATTATTTACACAAAATGTCATTTTAATTCCAAGCTCCATAAAAATATAAAATCAAATCCCCAAATTATTTTAATATAAGTTATAACAGTTCTCATGGAGTCATTTTTGCCTTCATTAAAAAAATTTGGGGACTAAATTGCAAACACTTCTATAGACTCTGGGATTAAAATAGCGCACAATAAAAAGTCAGGGATTACTTTGACACTTTTTTCAATTGATATCGGTATGCCCATGGCTGTCCATGGCTTTCCATGGCTTCAAGGGCCAACAACTGTGTTTCTTGAATTATATACGTCTAGAAAAATAATCAAAACCCTACCCTGATAACTCACAACACAGCCCAATTTCATCAAATATAATGGAGCCAAAACTATCATCCAAAGAAACATTAGAAAATGGCCAAACTAGTGAAATGTTATTTGGTAAGGAAATAAAAATGTCTTCCTTCGTTCAAGATATTATCAAGATTCTGACTCGAGGGAAAAAAAAACGTTTAACAAGAACATTGTAGAGGCATGTCATTCAGTAAAAAAAAATCTCATGATTCAGTCCTTACTTAGGGTATGGGTAAAATCCATTTATTGTCATGCCACCATCGACTGAAATGATTTGCCCAGTTATATATGAAGCAGAAGGCAAACAAAGAAACGCCACCAGGGATGACACTTCCTCGGGCTCACCAACACGGTTTAGTGGTGTTCGAGACACCACACTATCAAGAAAATTTTCCTTCTCCAACAACTGTAGAAATAAGACAAATTATAAGAAATGAGGGCAGGCTTACTAATTAAATTTCATAATCATTAAAGTCCTAACCAAAAAAAAAAAAAAAATCTTAGACATGCTTCATTTCTTGTTTGAGGATAATTTGATCAATTTAACACTACATGAAATCATTAAAAGGTAAATCAAATATGTGGCCATGATCATATACTCAAAATCATCAACCACAAGCAAATTATCTAAGAGTGGAGATTTTTTATTTCATTCTTCATCAGAGTTAACAAATGCAGCATCTAACCATAAACGCCTTTAACTTTAGCTCCTATCTTATCTCAATCCACCCGAGGCCATGCTAATCCATTTTTTTACTTAGAATTTGGATTCAATTTCAAAATCTAGAGTAGCTTCAAGAATCTGTTGTCGACCTAATAATTACCCTCAATTTTTTGCATTAGAATTTTTACCCACAAGGAACAATTGTATTTGGAAAAAAACTATAATTTAGCTACATGAATAAAAGCCATCTAATCACATTACTTTGTCATATGCTTTTCCTTTGCTCATCCTTGCTGATTAATCCTATCCATTCATCCTAACATGCTTTGCCTCTCTTAGTGGTGCAAAAGTCGAGCTTAAGCTAAAACACTCAAAGTATAACTATGACGCAATTTGAAGTTTTATAACATTCCATTGAAATCCCTTTATCTCATATCCATCTAACTATTCTCATCTTATCATTTCCATCTTCAATATACTCTTAAAAAGTTCAATGCTAACCATCCGTCAATGTTTTCTTGAGGTTAAAATGAAAAAAAAAAAGAGGAAAAGGAATAGGAAAAAAAAGGATAGAAAAGCCATTTGATGTAGAACAACCATGAAAGAACTGGACAACATTCTAAAAAAGATGAAAAAGTTTGATAAAGCTAAAGATAAGGTACTAAGAAACATTAACTAAATGAACAAGCCGCCAGTTTGAAGAAAGATATTGTTTCTCCGGAAATGTAACAAGTCAAGCATCTGGTCAAGGATTGAATCCCATAATAGATAAAAGATATTCATAGCCAAAATTTTATTAAGACAAACTATCGTACACAACTTCATAACAATCTAATGGTAGATGGATGAAATAACAAATTATTAACAGCATATTAGCAAACATCAAATAAATTGCAAATAAATTCCTATAAATTGATAAGTTTATATATATATATATATAGAAATAGAAATGAGACTTTTTTTTTGAATCACCTATCATCATCATCGTTAGCCAAATCCCAGCTATTAACAATCGGCTTTGTAAATCCACATTCTCCATTCATCCTAGTGATTGTATAAGCTATTAGCATATTTTGCATAAATGCTTTTTGGTATAATTTTGTATACTAATAAACTTCTATCTAATCCAATTTCTTCTTAATTGCTTCATATAAGTTTCAGCTATTTTTTATTGATGTATTTTCTGCCACTCATCATAATGTTTAGATCATTGAAGTCTTTTTTCCATTACATTATCTTCAATACAAGTATATGCCAGCCCTCTCATCCCATTACTACAACAAATGTTCAATAAATTCTTTCTAGTTGTGCCACACAACCATACACTCATCTCAACACTCTCATTTTTGACATGCACGATTTAGCAAATTACATGATGTTTTAATTAAATATTCAAATTATAAAGAGCAGTAAAATAACTTACATGTTTCACAAGCGAAGTCTTGATATACCATGGTGAAACAGAATTGACACGAATGTTATCTTTTGCCCACTCACATGCTAGATTCTTTGTAATTTGATTAAGTGCAGCTGCAAAGAACATATAAATAAAGAATTAACAAAAAATAATGGACTATGTGTGTTACAATGTACGCATTACCTTTTGTAGCGGCATAAATTGTACCACTAGATATAGCTACCACACCAGCAACAGAGGAAATGAATACAACGCTCCCCATTCTTGATGATTTGAGAAGAGGATGAGCAAGTTGGCAAGTATGGAATGCAGCATCGAAGTTGGTGTTCATAATTAAGGAGTATTCCTCTTCAGAATAATCAACTGTAGGTTTCCTTATATTTGTCCCAACATTGTTTATCTGAAAATTAGATAATTTGCTCATTTTATACAATGCATCAATACTATATATTGAAGAAAAATGAGAATAATATATCATACTATTCGTATGTTGGTTCTAGAAGAGAGTATGAACATGTAAAATGGAAACAAAATGATACCTTGTAGATAAGAAAGACATGTATAAACAAAAAGAATATACAACATAAATGCATCAATAAACTCTCAACAAAGTTTTATTACAACATTAGTTTAAAAAAATCTGCTTGGTTTAGTGGTTGATGGATCAACACGATTAAAATATAATTATATTACAGCACAAATAAATAGGAATGCTCTATTATAGGATCTCACTCTAAGCAAAAAATAATTAATAAATAACTTAATGAAAAAGGTCACCTTGTTTCACATTCCAAAATTTAAAGAACATGATACTTAACACATTAAATCCAATTAAAACTAAACTTTTTCAAATACTCACTCACAAATGCATTTGCGCATCGAAAGACAAATTTTAGACATTTCGGGATAGAAACTGAATCCTCTTTATAAGAGAAACCTGTCCTCTCATTTGCTTTATTTTCTTCTGTTAATTAATTTGAATCAAGTATTAGATTAATTGATCATTATTTTCTGATTTTTCACCCTGTTTAGCTCTTTGGTAGCTCTTTGTGTAGTGTTTCCTACTGCTTTGCTCTTTTAATAACCCTTGCAGGACTGAATCAAATAAAGCACCCGATCCATTCAAACATCACAGACATCTATTTCGAGAGTTCAGCCCAAGCGAACAAGAGACTAGAGTGGCATCCTGATCCCGAGCAAATGAGAGGTAGGAGCAATATAAGGTAAAGAGAGAGCCAAGCGATTCCAAGAGCAAAGGAAAGAGAGGGTTTCTTTCGAATCTTTGGCCAAGAAAGGTAAGTCGAGGGAGGTAACGGAGCAATCAAAACCTTCAGTTTCTTCTTCTGCCTTCCTTGGAACAGACTGACAAAAAGGTTTTAAGTTTTGGCAAATTAAAACTTCATTTCTATTTAGTGGTTATGTTTGTAGAATAGAACTTGAATTATAGGTCTTTTCATGTGACAAGTCCATATAGAAGTCTTAGTTTTATAATTCATTATTTGGATCTTAGATCGAATTGGGATTTAATTGTGACAGAATTGGTATTAAAACGAGGTTTAAATTTTTTCAGAAGAAGAGTTTCCAAGGTTAAGATTGAAAGACTTGATGGTAAGCCTAATTTCTTGATTTGGAGGAAACGAATGAAAGCTGCTCTGGTTCAAACGAAAGTGGCAAAGCTTTGGCAGGAGAGAATAGTTTACCAAATTCTTCGGACGCCTGAGAAAGCAAAGATCATGGAGTTAGCGTATATCAAGCTTGTGTTGCATCTTAGCGATAAGGTTCTTCATTAGGTTGATTAAAAAACGACAACTACTGAAATTTGGAACAAATGTATATGACCAAAAACTTGCATAATAGAATTTATTATAAGGGAAAACTGTTTGGTTTGAATGTCTGAAATAAGATTCTGAAGCATAATATGGATGACTTTAATAAAATCGTTATAGTCTTAGAAAACTTTGGGGTTAAAGTGGACGATGAAGATCAGACCATTATTATCTTAAATTCATTGTCAAAACCATTTGCTCATTTTATAAAGACAATGAAATATACCAGGGAGACTTTATCTTTGTAAGAGGTTCAAACAAATTTGAAATCCAAGCAAATTGAAACCAAATATGAAAAGAAATAGAGGAGCTCTGTGATTGTATGTTAGAGGCCGACCAGAGAGAGGAAAAAGGCAAAAGAAATTTGATGTCAAGCTCAAAAATCTAAAACCAAATTCAAGTGTCTCTTATGTCACAAGGAATGACACTACAAGAAGAATTATCCGGAATTGAAAAAAAATGATAAGGTAAATCACTAGAATTTGGAGATGCTTCAGTTATGTCTGATAAGTTTGTGGAATCAAGAGAGTTTGACAGTTACAACATATTCTAATAATAAAGATTAGAATAAATTCAAGCTGTTTTTTTCACATGACTCATAATAAGCACTGGTTTGCAACATATAAAGAAGCCAATGATGGGAGGGTTATTATGAGAAACAATGCAGCTTGTAAAGTCATTGGAATTGGAACCGTTAAAATTGAGATAGATGGAGTTATTAGAACTCTCATTGAAGTCAGATGAATGTCGGACCTTAAAAGAAATTTACTATCTATTGGTACTCTTGATGCTCTAGGGTGCAAGTTCAAGTCTGAAGGTGGTTTGTTGAAGGTTGATAGAGGTACGATGGTTATTATGAAGGGCAAATGAATAAATGGTTTATACTCATTGTCAAGAAAGATTATGACACCGTTAATGGAAGTTGATACGTAACATAAACATATCATACAAAACTTTGACATATTCCCGTAGGTCATATTAGTCATTAGAGACTGGATGTTCTGCGAGGACAAGGAGTCTATGGCAAAGATAATGTTGATAGGATTGATTTATGTGAACATTGTGTCTTTGGAAAGCAGACTCGAATAAAGTTTAATGCGGGACAACATACTACCAAATGAACTACTGATTGCATACATTCAAAAATTTGGGGACCTGCTCTTGCTTCAATTTTAGGAGGAGACTGATATTTTATCACCTTCATTGATAATTTTTCAAGAAAAGTCTGGGTTTATGTTTTGAAGCATAAAAATGAAGCTTTTAGGAAATTCAAACAATGGAGAGCTTTGATTGAAAATCAGCCTCAAAAGAAAATAAAGAGGTTGAGGATAAATAATGGCCTTGAAAAAAACTTGATCGTAAATTTACTGAGTTTTGCAAAGAAAATGGAATTGCCTGACATAAGATAGTACGATTAACTCCACAACAGAATGGTATTGCTAAGAGGATGAATTAAAATTTTGATTGGGAAAGTGAATTGTATGTTGTCATTTACAAAAAATGTTAAGCACTTCTAGGGTGAAGCAGTTAGCACTGCTTGTTACTAGGTGAATAGAAGTTCATTTACAACTTTTGAATTAAAAATCCTGATTAAGTTTGGATATGGAAAAAGATATTACAGTAAACTCAGAATTTGTATATGTTCATGTGACTGAGTGAAAGCTGGAGACAAGATTCAAGAAATGTTTATTCATAGGGTAGCCAGAGAGAATTGAAGGGTATAAATGTTGGTTGATAGATGAATCCAAATGTATTATAAGAAGAGATGTCATCTTCAATAAACAGTATATGATGGTTGGTCAGACTACTGGAAATAATCAGGGAACCACGATCAGCACGGAGAGTGTAGTAAAATCGCAGCATAACAGTGATACAAATCAGTTGTAGGTGGAGCTACTTCTAGTAGAAAATAATAATCAGGGTCATCAAATAGATCAGACTGGGTTGGAGAACTATAATCATGCAAGGGATCGAACAAGCAAAAATATAAGAGCACCTAAGCATCTTAGATTTGCTGATTTAATTGCATATGCTCTTAATACTACGGAACAAATTTTGGAAAATGAGTCGAGGTTGTAAAAGAAAGCAATGAATAGTGATGAGAAAGGTTTCTAGAAACAGGCAATGGATGAAGAAATAAAATCACTGAAAAGGAATTGTACTTGGGAACTTCTTAATAAACCACTGAATAAGAGAATTGTGGGCTACAAATGAGTCTATAAAAGAAAAGATGGTAATTCAGATGTTGAGCAAGCTCGAATAGTGAGAAAGGGTTTCACTCAAAAAGATGGAATATTCTTTAATGAGATTTTCTCACCTATTTTAAAGTAGACAACAATTTGAGTAATTTTATCACCCGTAACCAGATACAATCTAGAGCTTGAACAGATGGATGTCAAAACAAATTTTCTTCATGGAGAACTTGAGGAGGTTAATTACAAGATCCAGCTAGAGGGATACATCAAATATGTTCAGGAAAACAAACTATGCCTTCTCAGAAAATTTATTTATGGGTTAAAGCAGTCTCCACAATAAGGTATAAGAAATTTGATTCATCCATGATTTAAAATTCTCACAAAAGAAGTGGCTTTGATATATGTGTTTACTACAAAAGATTATCAGAGCAAAATTATATATTTACTTTTGTATGTTGACAATATGCTCATAGTCAGTGATAGTAGCGATTATGTTTAGAAAGTTCTAAAAAAGTTTGAAATGGATACTGCCAAATCAGTTTCTTCTCCTTTGGGATAGCAATTCAGGCTTTCAACCACTCAATCACCATCAACAGTAGAAGATCAGAAATATATGGATTCAGTTCCATATGCTCGTGACGTAGGTAGTAATATTTACTCAATTATTTGTGCCAGACCAGACATATTGCATGCTACAAGTATGATATGAAGATAAATGGTTAAACCTGGGAGAGAACATTGAAGGATTGTTAAGTGAATTTTCAGATATTTGAGGAGTTCGGTTGATATTGGTTAAATTATCGGAAGGATAACTAGGACAAAGAGGATATTTCAGATTTTGTGGAACACAAATCTGACTGGTTATAATTTTACTATTTATGGGAATACAGTCAGTTGGAAAGTAAACTTTCAGTCAATCTTTATCTACAGTAGAGACAGAATATATAGTTGTTGCTGAGGCAATAAAGGAAGGCATCTGGATGAAAGATTTTCTTGAGGAGCTTGAGAACAAATAAATGAAGACTATAATATGGTGTGATGGTCAGAGCGCAATTCAACTGACAAAGAATCATGTATTTCATGAAAAAACAAAATAAATTGATATCAGACAGACATTTCATCAGTGACGTTCTTGTTCAAGGTACAGTGGATATTCAGAAAGTACATACAGATGAGAATCTGGCTAATATTCTTATGAAGATAGTGTCTGGAACCAAATTTCAGCACTATCTGACTCTGCTTAAGTAGGTAGAACTCCTGGTTAAGGAGGTGTTGGAAGAAAGGGAGAAGTGTTTTGCTTTGCTAGTCTAATATTTCATTCAAGGTGGAGATTGTTAATTAATTTGAATTAGTATTAAATTAATTGATCATTATTTCTGATTTTTCACCTTACATAGCTTTTTGTGTAGCCTGTAAAGTTGC